AATCAGTTATTTGCAGGGTCCCTATCTATTGAATTCCCTATATTACCCTTGCACTAATCTGAAATTACTAAGTCTAGTCAAACTAACCCCCATCCTTCTTACCTTAGTCAAATAACTATGGTTAAGTGTTTAACAGGAGCTGAAAAATTCAACTAAGTCTAAACCAATCCTAAAATTAAACTAAACACTCAAGCTAACTAATCAAAGCATGGCAATTAATTCTAACTAAGCTGTTAACCCAAACTGAATTTATTCACTAAACCAAACAGCAATTCAAATGAAATTGAAACTAATGTCAAATTATCATTAACAGTCATGAACTACCCAAACCAAGCACAAAATCAAAGCATCAACTAACATGGAGAAAAATTAATCAAATGAAGAAGGATCTTAAGAACAGTCAGAACAAACTTAAAATGAACCTAGAACACTGAACAAGAACCTCATCTAAACTAATGACAAAATCAAAAGAATAAATTCATGCTATTGATTATCAGTGAATTAGAACTCAAACAAACATGAAAATGAACAAATAAGAACAGAAGAAAACGAATTCAATTACTGATTCTAGACGGATTGTCAAACAACACGAAAAGAACAAAACCTAAATTAATTAATCATGAAGAAATGACGGTCGTGGAGGAAAAACTAATTTAAATACCAAAAAAAACAAAGAAAACTCACCTATGAAGTTCTAGGGTTCTGCTGCTTTGTGATCTAAAATTCGGGCAATTCCAGCGATATTTGAAGGAATCCAATTGGGGCTCGTGAAGAGGAGGATGAGAGGAGTATGGGGTGTAATTTTGGGAAAGTTTGGAAGGCGGCGCCGCCTAGGGTTTGGGTTATTTGACAAATTTGATAGGGATTTGGGGGAAGTGAAGGGCGGATTTGTGACGAGGATGACGAGGAGGTATTGTGGTGTAATTTTGGTGTCATTTGGAGGAAGTGGCGTCATGGCCGGAGATATTTCAAACGAATATTCGAGGCCTTAGGACAAGATTCGAGGGAAGCCATTGACGGATTTGAAAAGAGGATGAGAAGGGGAACAAGGGGTGTTAATTTGGGGCGGATTGGTGGTGATGGCATTCGCCGGCGGCGGCTGCTCCGGCGAAATACAGAGAGGAGATACGAGGAAGATGAAGAATGTTTTTAGGGTTTGGGGAATTTTCGGACACTTTTATGTAATATTAAGATCCATCAGAAGCCGTTGGATTGACAATAATGGACGGCTTGGATTGACTGACTATAAACGACGTCGTCTGGGCGTTTGAGAGAGTGGACCGGGTGGGGGGTTAGCTTGGGCCTGTAACGGGTGGGTAATGTGAATTGGGCTGGGAAATCCGGTTAAAATGAGCCCAATTGTTTTCTCTTGTTTTTTTTTATTTTCCCCTTTTCCATTTTGTTTTTTTTTCTTTTCCTTGTTTTATTTATATTTTTTTTTTATGATTTTACTAAAATGCTAAACAAAAACAAATTAACGCTAAAAATTAGATTTCCTGATTCCCTATACAGTAATATCTAATTAAAATGCAAACTAAGACATATTTAAACTAAAGATGCAAAACGGGCCGTTTTTGTTATTTTCTTCATATTTTGTTCTAAAACAAATTAACCCCTAATTAATACTAAAATATGAAATTAAGTCCTAAATGCAAATGTATTTTTTGTATTTTTCATATGAATTAAAATGCACAGATAAAATGCAACACTTACCAGAAAATCATGCAATTAATTCCCTAAAAGAAAAATCCTAATTCTAATGAATTTATAGGAGTAATTTAAGCATGGCAAAAATCACGTTCTCACAGCGGTACAGACTTTTTGGGTTGAACAGTGTGCTGAGGAGTTAAGGAAAATGTTGGCAGAAAAAGACATTTTCTGTGGTCCACTCTGCGGGCCGCAGATTGAAACAGAAACTTGAGAAAAATTACAAGACCAATTTGCGGTCCATTATGTGACGGCATAACGATTTCGCTGGCCGCACATCCATCGCAGTTTCAGCATGGCAATTTTTCAGTGGGAGGTTCTGCGGCGCATTATGCGGCCGCAGAACAAGTCTGCAGACCGCATAATGGTCGCAGAGTGGGGCAGACCTGCCCAATTCCTGAGGGCCATTTCGCAGCCCATTTTGCGGACCGCAGAAGCATTATATGCGACCGCAGATCCTGTTTCGGAGCTTCATTTTTTGGTTTTTATAACCCGACCCTACTTCATTAAAATAGATGTAATGGACCATTTTTGAAGAAAAATCTGATACTTTTGGAGTAAGAGAGTGCCTTAGAGTGGGAGAGTGATCTTCGACAAATTATCCTTCAATTCTTGCTCAAATCTTTGAATTAACAAGAAAAACTCACTAAGTCTTCATCCTAGAGGTAAGATTCTACACCCTAGCCCTTAATTTCGAAAATTAACTAAAAATGGGTCAATAGTAAGACAATTCATGGGTATGAGAGTTGTTTATTTTGTATGCATGTGCCATCAAAGGGCGTAGGAAGATTGTGATCTAAAAAAATGGTAAAGAATGAGTTATAGGACGATGGAATCCTCCATAAAGGGACTTGAAACCTTAATGCACACCTAGTGTTGATAAAATGCTCAAATGAGCTAGAACCATGATCATCTTCCTAATTTTGGTTCAACTTGTTATATTTCTAAAATAGATTGAAGTTGCTAAGAATTCCAGAACATTTTAGAGTTTAAGGAAACTCGATTGAGGTATGTTGGCTAAACCCTTTTTCTTAGAATTGAATTCCACAGTGTTCATGTAAGTTATGTAAGACCCGAGTTGATCATTATGAAATTGGCTATTCCGAATAAACTTGTGTGAAAGATACATGATCAATATGTCTTCCAAATGCTTTTATCATGCTATGTTATCAATTTAGAATACGTTCAAAGTATGGGTTGTGTGTTATACATGTTACGACTTTAAGTCAAATTTGAATGAAGGTTATCATGCCAAATTATGTGAATATCTCTATATGTCTAAGACTCTTAATTGCTCACATGTGTAGCTAAAGTCTTGAATTGAAAAGTCTTGTTGTTGATAATGATGATAATGTGTGAAAGTGAAAAGGGGGGCACGAAAAATAAAATACGGCCAAGTGCCAAGAATGATATTATAATTGTGGCCACTAGTGCCAATGAATTGAAAAGATGTGAAAGAAGTATGAAGTGAGATGATTGATGGAAAAGGGTAATGTCTCGGGTGAGACGGCCTATCCGATCGGGCTGTGATCGGAGGCCATGCCGCACACATGGTGGTGATTGTGCTGGAAATTATGATTGAAACTGTGATTGTGGATGATGTCTCAAATGAGACGGCCCAGCCGACCGGGTCGTGGTCGGACTTCGTGTAAAAGTACGATGGTATTGTGAATAATGGTATATCGGTACTAAAGATCTCCCAACCTAAAAATATGGAAATTTACTTGAAAACTTGTGTGGTTCTTAACTTGATGTTCTGGTATTGTTTGAGGCTTCTATTGATTTCATAATTGTTTCCCCCTTGTATTATTATTCATTCTATTGAGATATTTTTAGTTATACATACTAGTACTATTCGACAGTACTAATGTCCCTTTTGTCGGGGGCGCTACATCTTTAACGGATGCAAGTGGTTCCATAACAGGCGGCATTGATCAGTGATAGCAGTACACCTTCCTCCCAGCAGACTTGGTGAGCCCCGCTTCATTCCGGGGTTAAACATCTTTTGTTCATTATATTATCACGTTTTGAGGTATAACCGGAGCCTTGTTGCTGGAACTACTATTGTACTCTTTGTAATTATTAGAGGCTCCGTAGACATAGTGTGGGTTGTATGTCGGTGTTGGGTAAAATCAAACAATTCATGTTATGTTTGAATCACTATATTATTTAGGTTTACAGCTTGTTTGGATGGTTGTTATGTATCATTTCATAATTTATCGTATCATATCATATTTTCTTGTCTTGTATTGTATTGTTTCGTTAATTATAACATTTGAATAGAACGTATTGTTTTCCATCTTTTCATAATGATGCACACCAATAATTCAAAGGATAAGCGTACAATGTTATATAAAAATATACGAGATGAGGTAGAGGCATTATAAAAATGATAGGATATAGAGTAAAATATAATTATTAAATAATAATTAAGGACAAAATGAGAAGAAAAAAATAAGGTAACAATGAGATCACACCAAATGAGTCATCATTAGTAACGACAATTTCATAATATGATACTCCCCGTGCACTTTTACTTGGCACGTTTTGACTTTTCACGCCCCTTAAGAAACAATAAATGAAGTGCAAAATTTACCATGATACCCATATTAACCGATGCATATTTTATTGGATTTGACAAAATGATTTGAAATGAGTAATAAATACTGTGGTTATAACAGGAAAAAAATTATTTTCTCTTGATATGTGTAAAGTGACAAGTAAAAATAAAAATTTATTTTTAGTATACATACCAAATAAAAGTAACGGAGGAAGTATAAAATAATTTAAGTAACAATTAAAATAAATATTGTATTTATTTAAAGTAATAATATAGAAATAACAACCAATTCAAATAAGCTCTTGGGGGTGGGGTGGTGGGGGTGACTAATATCTCTTTTTCCCCTTGGGCAAAATCCTTTTTCCTTCCATAGGATAGGATTGGCTCAGCATCAAATCTAGGCTTCAGCACTGCAATCTCCGTCTTTCTGCAAACTCAATTAATCCCCTCTACCACTCTTCCACCTTCAGGTACTTCAAACCCTAGCCTCCGTCATTTTGTTTTGCATCATTCTATACTACGAACATAACAAGATCTACTGTTTTTTCGTTGTTGTATGAATATTCGATTAGATCTGGCGATTTCTGTGAATTTTTTGCTTACTTTTGCTCCAGTAATATCGTTGATAGCTACTTTTTGCTTTTCAAAGGTCTTTCATCTAGGCCATTCATTTTTCTTTTGTGGAATTTCAGGATCTTTGGTATTTCATATGAGATTTTAACATGTTTATCAGATTTGAGCTTGGGTTTGAAGGTAAGGAAGTAACTTATGGCGTCAAAGCGCATATTGAAGGAGCTGAAGGATCTGCAGAAGGACCCTCCCACATCATGCAGCGCTGGTATGTTCGCTCTGCTTTTCTTACACTATTGTGTTTAGCATCTCATTAATTTTAGAACTTCTAGCCACATAAAAGTCCAGTTAAATCTAAGTGGTTTCTTGAAAAAAATTAGTTTATTTACTTTTTTAATAGCAAAATTGCAACGAATGCTTGTATAAATTTATCGATGTAGTTGGTTGTTTCATTTGTAGTTTACTACAACTCTATGTGGACTTGATCAAATTGCTCTTTTGTCTAATGTGGGGCTATCCACCCTTAAGAAGAAATCTTCTTGCAATGATGTAAGGGGTAAATTCTCTACTGTGTAACAGGGAATGGGAAGGGACACCAACACAACTGCTAAAAGCGAATAAAAATATTAAAGTAAATGTGATAAATATAAAGAGACAGAAATATAGCGTAAAAACGGAGAGGTGTAGAATCTTATTAATATCGTGTTCTTGTGATATAACCAGTGTAATATGTAAAGATTAGCGTAGAAGAAATCTTGAGATCTGTCCTCTCCCCTTGTCGATGGGGAGTTGGGGCTTTAACTTTCACGGTCATAGCTGCTTGTTCTAAATTTTATGTGTAGAAAGAGTAATATTTTCAAGTACACTCAGACCTCTCTATAACAGTATCTCTATATAACAGTCATTCACTATAAAAGCTAAGTTTTTCTCAGAATCAATTCTTATGTTATGTTATAATATATGTCTTCTATAACAACACTTCACTATATAACAACAACAACAACAATGACCCAGTAAATTCCCACTAGTGGGGTCTGGGGAGGGTAGTTTGTACGCAGACCTTATACCTACCCCGAGGGAGTAGAGAAGCTATTTCCGAAAGACCCTCGACTCAATAAAGCGAAAAGAGACAATATATCAGTACCATCAACAGAAACCATAGGAATAATAACAGCATCATAAAAATCAAAAAATAGATGAAAAGCAAAAGCAATAACATTAAATAGACCCGGCACTATGAAAAACGGAAGAGTAGTGAGAACACAATATTAGCCACTAGCAGTCTAAGACAAAAATCCTAGCAGACTAGCCTCACATTGGTACGAAGTAGAAATAGGCTCAAATACCTCTTAACCTACAATCTTATTACTCGACCTCCACAGCTTCCTATCAAGAGCCACGTCCTCGAAAATCTGAAGCCACGCCATGTCCTGCCTGATCACCTCTCCCCAATACTTCCTAGGCTGCCCTCTACCTTTTCTCATGCCTTCCAAAGACAATCGCTCACACCTCCTTACCGGGGCATCTGGGCTTTTCCTGCATACGTGCCCGAACTATCTGAGCCTCGCTTCCCGCATTTTGCCATCAATGAGAGCCATGCCAACCTTCTCACAAATATCCTCACTCGTAATCTTATCCATCCTAGTGTGCCCGCACATCTACCTCAATATTCTCATTTCTACTACTCTCATCTTTTGGATATGTGAGTTCTTAACTGGTCAACACTCAGCCCCATACAACATGGCCGATCTAACCACCGCTCTATAAAACCTACCTTTGAGTATCGGTGGCACTTTCTTGTTACATAGGACTACAGATGCTAACCTCTACTTCATCCACCCACCCCTATACGGTGTGTGACATCCTCGTCGATCTCCCCATCCCCTGGATAACTGAACCAAGATACTTAAAACTGCCTCTCCCGGGGATGACCTGTGATTCAAGCCTCACGTCCATGCTTGCTTCCCTCGGCTCGACGTTGAACTTGCACTCGAGATATTCAGTCTTTAGTCCTGCTCAGCTTGAAACCCTTAGACTCAAGGGCCTGTCTCCAAACCTCCAGCCTCTCGTTAACACCGCCTCGCGTCTCATCAATCAGAATATGTAGTCAGTGAATAACACATACCATGGCATCTCCCCTTGAATATGGTGTGTTAGTGCGTCCATCGCCAGGGCAAATAAGAACGGGCTGAGCGCAGATCCTTAGTGTAACCCCATAACAACCGGAAAATGCGCGAGACGCCTCCTACTGTTCTAACCCGAGTCTTAGCTCCATCATACATGTCCTTAATTGCCCTAATGCAGGCAACGGACAGACCTTCTCCCTCCAGCACTTCACTATAATAGCCAGAAAATATCGGAACAAACGATGTTGTTATAGAGAGGCTTGACTGTATATGAGAGGTGATGTCCTCTGTTATTGCATGACTGTCAGATATTTAAAGAGCTCTTATTTATAATGGAAGAGTACAGCTACCTGCTACCTTGGTGGGTGTAAACTTGGAGCCTAATCCCCTTAATGTAAGGAAGTGACTCCTTTCTTTATGGAGTGGTTGTTCAGCCTTATTTCGAAGGATGAGAGAGTGGTTCATCATTTAATGATCAGTCACTTATTCCTCCTTAACTTGGTCCTAAGTAAGATAAGTTTGCCCATATGGTTCGTATGGCCTATTACAGGAGCTATCGCATGGCTCGTTGCTGGAGATGATCGTAAGACTCATTATAGGATACACTCATATGATCCGTTGCAAGAGACAATCGTCTGGTCTGTAGAGAACATGGTATGTTGGCAGGCCTGAATACAGGCATGTCGGTTCCTTATAGAGAAGGTTCTGAACCTCATGCATGCAGAAACACATGATAATTAGATTTCATCATGTATGAGGATCGCTATAATGCATGTGTTATTGGGTTATAATCAAGGTTTCGTGGGGACCTCTAATGATAGAGACGCAATTTTGGTGAGATCGTGGCCCAAACATCTCGATGGTGGTTAAGGAGTCTATTGGACTTTCAACTTTATTCCTTTAGACTTGGTCAAAGGCAGAATCACGGGCAAGTCATGGATCCAACATGTGGAGGTCGTGGCCCGTAACTTGACGACGAAACTGTTCAAATTCTTGGGCACAACACTGTAAGCGTTTCGGGAGAGATTGTTCAACCGTGGAGTTGCTCGGGCAAGAAGCTAAATGTGGGTACCTGAGCCTTAGTAGTATGAACGCTTGTTCAATGGATCAGTCATGTGAGCCTATGGGTAGGACGTGTATTTTCGACCACTACACACGGGAAAGAATAATATAAAAGATTATGTATGGCAAGATAAAAGTGCGTCTGGACCCCATAACAAGTTAAGAATCAAACATCAAAATTTATGTTCCATCATTGTTATTGTAGCTTTTCTTTTTCCATATTCTCTTAGTTTTATTTTAGAAGTAAGGAGTTCTGGTATTGATTAAACAGGACTTAATGCCCAAGTGCAGTTCACTTGCATTTGTTAAAAGTTAAAACTTAAAAGTGACTCATTTATTCCCAATATAAAACATGACCTAGGAGGTATACTATCATTGACTGTAGCCTTTGTAGAATATTTCATTTATGATGGCATCTCTCCAGCTGTCTTAGAATTTATTGTTTTCTGCAGCCATCTAGAAGCAACATCCTGATGATGATATTAATTGTTGAAATCCGATTACTTGTTGGGTCATATTTATTTCAATAAACAATTCCTCATCTGAATGTTCTGCTACATCTGAGTGGTATTAATATTTTACAATGATATTAATTTGTTTACTACTTCATCTAAACAGGTCCTGTGGCTGAGGACATGTTCCATTGGCAAGCAACAATCATGGGGCCTACAGATAGCCCTTATGCAGGGGGTGTATTCTTGGTTTCTATTCATTTTCCTCCTGATTATCCGTTCAAGCCACCTAAGGTATGTCTATGCTTCAGAATATCTCTTGTTTTGCTTGTGTTAATTTTTTATGCCAATATTGACTTTGACGAACTGGAGAATAATCATTTTGAACGCATTTGATCAATTGGAAATGAATTTATTTTTGATTTTTTTCTGTTAAACGAGCAGGAAAGATTTGTAAGTCTAGACATAGCAAAAGATGTCAGTGCCCATATATGGTTAACACTTTTAACTGTGTCTAACCTTCTTTATCTTAAAAATTTAAGTGCCATAAAATTTTCAATGCATATACCTTGCTGTAAGAAGTGCTAACGTTTCGTAGTGTAGGACATGCTCTTCACTTCTTGGTTTTACATTCTATAAGCATGAGCTCAGGCGTAAACCTAATGGAACATAATCCATACTCCATTGCAGCTGGCTTCATTTTCCTCGGGCTAAATTATATCATATACCTCCTTCTGATTCTCCCTACTGCTTGGAAGATGATATAGGTCAGAGTCTTGGGAAAAAGCTCTGAAAATGTTTGCCTTCTCTAGGTTCTCTTTGTCTTTGGGTACTGGAGTCCATTCATTCATTTGGATGCCTTTAAAAAGAAAATTGTTAGTTTGACTAACATGGGCATAAGTTGTCTCAGTTTTGGTTTCTTTAGCCTTATGATGATCAGAGGGAGAGGGCGGATCTATGGAGGGCTGACATTAGTTTGTTGTTAGATAAGGTTGCTTATGTTGGTTCTCTAGTTTCGAGAAATACTTATATGAAATGCTGCGCAGTATAATTTCCTTTTTTGCTAACTCCAAATCTTTTTGATAAGATCACTTTGTGGTGATGATCTGATAAGCTTTTCATTGGCTCAGGTTGCATTTCGAACTAAGGTTTTCCACCCTAACATCAATAGCAATGGAAGCATTTGTCTGGATATTCTTAAAGAGCAGTGGAGTCCAGCATTGACCATATCTAAGGTTGGACCTTGGTCTTTCTTTCACCTTCAATTCAATGTTTAATGTTTTTTAATTGCTTACTGAAATGGATCAAACTTCAAAGCCACACTTGAAAGAGATTGTAGTTCACAGCTTAAGTTTAACATGTTGGTGCATATTATTATTTTGGTGAAGATTTCTCCAAATGATCTGCCATGTAAGTTTTATACCCCTGTTGACTCTTGGCTCATTTGTCTTTATAAGTAAATTAACTTCTTTGCTTTACCCCTGAGTTTATATTCTTTGCTTTTAAATGGCTATTAGCGTTTGGATATCTGAATAGGCTGTTGGTATGTTTTCAGGTCCTGTTGTCCATCTGCTCTCTATTGACAGACCCAAATCCAGACGATCCTCTTGTACCAGAAATTGCTCATATGTACAAGACTGACAGGTCCAAATATGAGGCCACTGCTCGTAGCTGGACACAGAAATATGCTATGGGATAATAGCAAAAGTGTCACTGGCCATGTCAGAGACTTTTGTAGCTGCACCGTCTTAATTGTGCTTGGGTGAAAGAATAAAATGTGGGTAAGGAACTTAGAATTTACTTCTTTCTCCCGTTGTGTGGTTGTCAAGAGACTGAGATCTTTCAAATTTGTGAATATCTATTTGATGAATGTTAGCAAGGGGGAAAACGTAATGTAACTTGTACTTTGGTTGCCTGTCTGACATGCTTCTTTCCCTAATTTTCCCAATTTGCATGACTAGTTGGAGCCATCTTTGGAATGACAATTATTATTGATACCGATATTGACCTGACGGCTTGAGATGGCAACTTGCGTGGCTAGTATGTTTCATGTCTTTGGAATGATAATTGAAGTTGGATTTTGTAATGCTCAAGCTTGGACAAGTCTTTACGTGAGATGACAAGATGGCTGATCAGCTTGGTTTGATGTTGGAATTTTAGTGCTAATATGACTGATACCTAGGATGGTAAGTGAATGCTTCCTTGCAAAGTAGGGAAAATGCTTTTTCTAAGGCTTGACTATGCTTTTTACTGTCGGGTGCCAATACTTTTGTCAATCATCTGGGTCCTTAGTCTTACAAGTGCCCTTCACAGTGGCTTTGCGAACTGGCCAATTACCAGTATGGATTAGATGACGAATGATTCATCAAAACTGAGCATCTGATTTACTTTAACACACATTCCCTGTTTATAGGTTCATATGCGATGGGTGTGTATCACGATGAAGCCAATGGGAAACATTGCTGAATTCTTTAAGAATCTGAGGTTTTCTCATGGCAAATAACCCTTTGCCTTACCAACAAATATTAATTTACCAACACTTCCCCTTTCAAACCTTGGAATGAAGAGATTGAAAGAGTTACTGTTCCTTTTAGGCGCAGTTAACTAAAGAATTGAGCCAAATTTGATGGTCAGTTTGTATGCGTTTTTGTTAGCATGCAATTTGCCAATAAAGCACAATTTGGTGTACTAAGCTCCAACAGTACGTGGATTTGGGGAATGGTTGGCCAACACTAGGTCCATTGTGTGTGTAACTTTACCTTGGTAATAGAAGTTTGTTTTTACTGGTTGCACAGTGACAACTTTAATATTGCTTCGAAGAAATTTGGCATGCCCAAAGAGAGTGTCAATGCCATGTGCGAAGGGTAAGCGAAGAAATGAGTCATAATCGATAACGGGCCCCTGCCTGCCGTTTGGGTTAGAGTTTACTAGATTGAGCAACCCAGTGCCAGGTGTTGGAGTTGAAAGGTGAAATCATTTTGCAGCCGAAATTTATTAATGGGAATTGAGTGATTGAATAGGCTTAGATCCTTAGTACGTGGCTCTCTAGATTAATATTACGAGAGTAGGTATATTTATGACTAGGTTATGGATGGGCACAGCCATTTCTAGTAGTCGTTCTAATAATAGACTTTTGTGTAGTTAAAAGAGTAGTTGTAGGGTTGAAAGCTGTGTGTGTTTGTCGCTTGGTTTACAAGCAAACAGGTTTAGAATTAGCCTCCTCTATTGCAAATTATGATGCACGTGCCTTGTATTGGGGTCTCTTCATCACTTTGCTTTCTCTTCAAGCCAACAACCTACTCCCTATTTACTTTTCAACGTGTTGAGTGGCCTTTTTGATGCCATGATCGTAGCCCCTTTCTATTCCCTCGTCGTCATTTGCAACTACTAGTATATTCTCCTATTCAATTACCCCTCCCCTCCCCCCCCCCCCCCCAACAAAAAAAAAAAAAAACGAATTGACAAAGATTTGTAAATGGAGAGAGATAGAGGGAGAGAACACGAAAAGGACAAAAAAAGGCTAAACTTAGTGTATTAAACTTCAGTGATTTAACCCAATGGGATTAGAACGGTATAAAGGTTTGAAGACATGTTTCTGGTAATATTGTATTTTTTTGGGGTACATTTTTGGTAATATTGTATGCATAACATGCAGAGAAATTACTTCCCGCGAAGAGAATGGCTTTTTCTCCTTAGAATTTAGAAAAGTCTTGTTTCGAGTAAGTGACTAGTCAATTTTTGCAAAGAGTAATGGGAAATGGGGCATTTGCATTTATACCCGTTTTTCGTGCCACATTTTAACTTGTGTCCGTTTTGCAAAAAAAATTACAAGCGTACCCGCTTTTTCACATAACTTCAGTCCACGGGGCCGAAGTTTTTCTTTTGTACTGGAAAACTTCAGCTGAAGTTTTTGTCTTTGTAACCGAAAACTTAAGCTCTAGAGCTTAAGTTTTCCAGTTATAAAATAAAAGCTTAAGCAGTTTTCCAGCTTAAGTTTTCCAGTTATAAAATAAAAACTTAAGCTCTAGAGCTTAAGTTTTCCAGTTATAAAGAGCTGAAGTTTTTCTTTGTACTGGAAAACTTCAGCTTTGTCTTTGTAACCGGAAAACTTCAGCTCTACAGCTGAAGTTTGCCAGTTATAAAATAAAAACTTCAGCTCTAGAGCTGAAGTTTCTATGTTGTAACTAGGTAACTTCAGCTCTAGAGCTGAAGTTTTTGTCTTTGTTTCTTGTACTGTTTCTTGTACATTCATCAAAGGAATTACATGGAAATATCTAGCAATTTTTGGCGGATAGTCTTGAAATATCATGTTTAAGTAGCTACAAATTATTTTCCGTTAAAATTTGTTAGAATGGTCAATGAAAATCTGACGATTACATATCGTGCAAAGCTAAATCCAGAAAATCTATCTTATTCAGTTACCGCAAAGCATGAAACTAACAAGTTCCAATCTCATATTCTATTTGTAAAGGCTTATCTCAAACACTAACTACAGTGAAGAGCAAGAACTGTGGTATTGAAGAAGAAGAAGAAGAAGAAGAAGAAGAGGAGGAGAAGGGGAGGAGAAAGGGAAGTTGAAGTTTTTTAAAAAGTGGATACGGGTGCAAATAGAAAGACAAAGCGGTTACAGGTTAGAAGGGGGCGCCCAATTTTTACATGGGAAATGCATTCGCTTAGGAATCGGCTTTGTTTTAACTATATCTCTAAAGTCTGTCCTCCATCTATAATACAGTCTAAATCGGTCGGGTCTTTGGGGAATTTTGCGGTGGATTTCAATTTGAATTCTGTGTGACAAGTTCACAGTAATCTCCTCGTATTATTGCTCAAAGATTTCTATAAGTATCGAGTTATGTCTTTTTCTTAGTCCTTGTTCTACTTTTGTTTGTCGTTGAAAATCTGTTCACGGTCTCGCAAATATTAATAAAGTAAAGAGAAGAAAGGCAGAAGGGAGGGAGGGTGGAAGTTCGTTTGGGAGTTCTTTTTGGACGTAATTAAAGGAAAATGGTTGGAAGTTTGGTAAAAAGCAAAATGGGCGACCAGGATTTTCCAAATGAAAAGAAAGGGTGAGTGAGCGGGAGTCAAAAACGTTTGACATGTCAACAAGTGCCAGCTGTAACAGAGAAGATTCATAGCCCAGGAAATGACATATGCGCCCAAGTAGTCCACTCTCTACAGTTCCTTGTACTACTACACTCACTCACCATTCTCTATCTCCCAGTATTATATCATTAAAAATATTAAATTTTGGACCTATATTTTTAAACCTATAATGGATTTAGTAAAAACTTAAACATTTCCGATATTTATAATCTAAATATTAAATATTTGACTCATAATAAAAATATGACAGTTCAATAATAATATAAGGATTGAGACCATCAAATTTAAATCTTGAATATGGCTCTTATTTTAAATATGCCTAAAGAAAAAAAAAATATCAAAACCGATTCGATCCAATCTGGGGCACCAATTTGCAAAAAGTAGAAACAGGCGTGCATTATATATTTGAGTTGAGAAGAAGCACTAGTCTTTTCTCTTTAGACCTTTAACTCTTCTCTCACCCTTTTTCTGTGTAAATGTCCTGCAACTCCGATCCATTGTAGGTTCAGAGTTTTAGGATCGTGTTAGTGGTTTGTTCCCGCCAAAACCTGCAAAGTAAAGCTCTTAGCTTTTTCCTACTATCAACTTTTCTTTTCTTTTCTTTTTTTTCTCCAACGAACCCTCCATCATAATAGTACAGTGTCAGTCCTTAGTACCCCCACTCAGTCCTTGTGCTTTTACTCTTGTTTCTCTAACTATATTTACTCCTTTAAATTAAAGTCCTTCCCCCCCCCCCCCCCCGGTTGGTACTTATGTCCATTTGTTCCCCCTCTGTCTCTCATCATCTCTTTCCATAAATTCATCCCCCTCTACTGCTCACCTCCACTTCTCCTCCAGTTCTGTTAAAACCAACAATTGATCTCTTTTTTTTAACAACAATATGATTTTACAGCCACCAGTAAAATTCTCTGAACACTTGGTCACTACAAACAAGCAAGTTCATGAGCTGAACATGAAGAATCCACAAAAAGTTGTTCGAATCATACTTACCGACGGCGATGCAACGGATTCATCCGACGACGAAGACGATCAATTCATGGTACGAAGAGTGAAGAGATATGTGACTAAAATCAACTTTACACTGCTACCGGAGTCACCAAAGCAAGAGTCTCAACCTCAACAAAGTAGCAGGAAACGGTGTTTGCCTTCATCGGATAGTGACGTCGGCTGCCGGAAAAAATACAGAGGCGTCCGTCAAAGACCATGGGGTCGCTGGGCCGCCGAGATTCGTGACCCTACACGTGGGAAACGTGTCTGGTTAGGAACTTACGACACGCCGGAGGAAGCAGCCACCGTGTACGACAGAGCTGCCGTTATGCTTAAAGGTCCCGATGCCGTTACCAACTTTGCATTAGTCTCGCCGGCGATTGAAACGTCGGAGGCGGAGTCCATCATCGTCAGCCCAGCGAAGACTGAAGTTTCTTCAAAGGATGTGGCTTTATCGCCGACGTCCGTTCTCCGTTCTGATGATTTTGGACCGTTCGATGGCAGCCTAGGGTTTAGCGAAGTGGACGCTTTCGGTTTCGAAATTGACTCCCCTTTTGGTCTAACGGGATTTGGAATGTCGGAGAAATATTTCGCCGAGGAATTCAGCGAGTTTGACTTCGACGATTTTGCCGTCGAAGTCACATAATCGTGAGGGGCAATTTCGTCATTGAAAAATGTCGCGGTGACGTGGATTATTTTTGGCGGCAATATACGGTGTGCATAGCAGTACAGTAGTAGTATACGTCGGAAATCATACGGCGATTTTTGTGAGAGATATTTCAATTTCTTTTTATGGTCAATTATATACATATAGGAAATTGTAAAACGACTTGTTTAAATTATTAAGATAAATTATTAATTATGACAAGAGTGGAAAGTGGGGTCTGTAGTATTTGGTATAAGAAGAGTGTTCGAGAGTGATATTTCTTGGTTATCACGCTTAAGCGTTGAAAAGTGAGAGTGATATTTATTATCTTATGATATTATAATATAATATGGATGTCCAATGGAAGAAAGTGCATAATACTGAGTGGTATTTTTTTGCAAGTAGCATATATTTTGTAATTATTATTTGGAATTTATGTGGTTTTCATGAAGACACTTGGCTATAGTGGGTGACTAGCTGGCTAAAACGCCAAAATGATTGGGTAAGTTGTTAGTTTCTAAAGCCAACACGAGTTTTGAAAATGACGAGCACGGGAGACTTCTTAATTGCATTCATTCGGGTTCTTACCCCACGCCCCCGCCATGTGGCATACTCCTTGTCTAGTATTTTGCATGGGCTCCACAGTATTTCTGTTTTATTTAAATTAATTAATACTGTACACGTTATAGTACAAATTTTTTTAGGTTACGAGACAGGGGCTAAAAATTATAGTAGTATATTTCTCTAATTTAATTGACAAAATTACACCATATACCATTTGGACCAGACAACCCACTCGAAAATAGCCCATATTTTAAGCCTTCACCTGTATTAGCCCATGTTGTATATTTTATGAAATTTACTTTACACCCGGTAGCCCACAACTCAAAATAACCGTTTTAATATTTTAAATTTCAATTTCCTTGTTTCTCTTTCTCTCTCTTCCTCACGTTTTTCTCAGACTCTCTTTCTCAGGCTTTTCTCAGACGATAACCGACCTCCATTGTTGGGTTCAACTAATTTTTCGAGCTTTTAATCTTAACTAGTAGTCGTACCCGCGCGATGCGCGGTCAATATTAAAAAAATATTTGTCACTTTGTTAATTTTTCGATGTTACATTTGAAATTATCACAATTATTTGATTATCCGTTTCTATATAAATAGAATATATATTGTCTAAATTTAATAAATAAAATTTCCATTAAATTAAAGGGACTTATATAGTCATCAAATAATTTTTTCGTTATATATTTTTGTTTATTATATTATCCAATATTTAGTATAATTATACTGTTAATAGAAATTATGACACTTGTCATTATAACATTTCTTTGCCTCTCCTATTATATATATATAGATATAGATTTCTTTGATTCTCCTATTATATATATTATATATTATACATATATTATATTATATTATATTATATTATATTATATTATATTATATTATATTATATTATATTATATATATAAATAGATTTTTTGTTCTTTTATTTTAAAATAATTNTACCTCTTTCTTTATTTTTCCTCTTCCCTTTATATTAGTAGTAGATAAAACTCAAAATCATTCTAATCATCTCTGCCGTACGGACTGGAGTCCGGAAATTTATTAGAAAGTGTACGAATTTTGAAGATAAGAAGGTGAACAGAGGCCTTTAATTTGGTGGTGTGGTCCTCGTACACCAGCAATATAACACTAACGCACCAACCATGAAAGAGAGTAGTCATAATGATCAAGAAACAAGAGAGTTTCAAAGGAAAGAACCATAGGTATTAGGCATTAACTAGTAGTCGTACCCGCGCGATGCGCGGTCAATATTAAAAAAATATTTGTCACTTTGTTAATTTTTCGATGTTACATTTGAAATTATCACAATTATTTGATTATCCTATTCTATATAAATAGAATAGATATTGTCCAAATATTAATAAATAAAATCTCCATTAAATTAAAGGGACTTATATAGTCATCAAATAATTTTTTCGTTATATATTTTTATTTATTATATTATCCAATATTTAGTATAATTATATTGTTAATAGAAATTATGACACTTGTCATTATGACATTTCTTTGCCTCTCCTATTGTATATATATAGATATAGATTTCTTTGACTCTCCTATTATATATATTATATTATATTATATTATATTTATATAAATAGATTTTTTGTTTTTTTATTTTAAAATAATTTTAAAACTCCAATTTGAAAGTACTCCCCAATTTGAATTGATAATTCATTATTTTTTAATTTCGTTTTTTATTTTAAAATAATTTGAAAACCCAAACTTGAAACTACTCCCACGCAATTCGAATGGGTAGTTACTTTTTATATATTTAATTTTTGTTTTTTTAATCATATTTAATTATAAGATATCTATATTTATTAATCCAAATAAAGTAACCAATTAATATATATGGTAGTTTTTAATTGTATTTTATTATTTTCATTTTTTATATGTATTTAAATTCAAAAATAAGTAACCAATAACTAATTATAAACTAAATAACTAATTAGTAACCAATTATGCCATGTGGCATTTTTTAGGCTGCCACTTGGCTTAAGGAGAGGGCTTTTTCCTCTCCTTTTAATAATATATAATTAAAATAATTTAAAAACTCAAACTTGAAAAATACTCCCACCCAATTTGAATGGGTAGTTATTTTTTATATATTTAATTTTTATTTTTTAATTATATTTAATTATAAGATATCTATATTTATTAATCCAAATAAAGTAACCAATTAATATATATGGTAGTTTTTTTATTGTATTTTATTATTTTATTTTTTGATATCTATTTAAAGTCAATAATAAGTAACCAATAACTAATTATAAATTAAATAACTAATTAGTAACCAATTATGCCATGTGGCAATATTTTAGGCTACCACTTGGCTTAAGGAGAGAGCTTTTTCCTTTCCTTTTAATAATATATAGATATAGATTTTATATATGTATTTAAATTTAAAAATAAGTAACCAATAACTAATTATAAACTAAATAACTAATTAGTAACCAATTATGCCATGTGGCATTTTTTAGGCTGCCACTTGGCTTAAGGAGAGGGCCTTTTCCTCTCCTTTTAATAATATATAGATTTCAGGTAATTTCCGTTTCATTCTATGCTTTTACCACAATTTTGATTTTGAATTTTGTTTTATTTTTAATTTTTTTGCTTTTTCTGATTATGCCTAGTTTCTTACAATGTTGCTGTGTTTTTCGTTTGATTTTGTGTTCCATCTATCTTTGTTCTAGGATTAAAGTTGATGTTTTAGTTTGCATGCTCTGTTATTTCGACCTTTTAGGGTAGAATTTTTTATTTTTTGATTTTTGTTACAATTTGGGAAAATCGGCCTATGCTTTGTGTTCATGGCCTTTAGTTTTGGTTGATTTTTGAGTTTTGTTACAGTTTAATTTTGTGTTTTCCTTCAGTTGTCTTCAATTTTGTTAAAGCTTTGGTTGTTTGGTTTATTGTAGAAAATGCGCTCAAAAGTAGCTGCTTCTAAAAGCAAAATGAAGATTGCTGGAAAAGGCGTTAAGTTTGATTATGCGAAAAGATTGAGGGAGTTGCCCTCAAGTCCTGATTCTGAATCTAATGTAAATGTCCAGGCGCCACATTGTGATGATTTTGAGTCTCCTGCTCCTCCTAAAAATTCGCAACAAGAGAGCAGTCGGATGACTCGTTCTCAAACGAGAAATACTCCCACTCTAGTTAAATCATCGAGTGACTTGCCCTCACCACCTTCTTCTGAAGCGAAAACGCATGTCCGGGATCCCGATGATGATGATTTTGAGTCTCCTCCTCCTCCAAAAAAGTTGCAACAAGGGAGCACTCGAGTGACTTGGTCGCAAACAAGTAATACTCCTACTCCGGCTAACATTGTTAGAATACGGAGTAAGAAATGTGGGAGACCTCAAAAATTAAAAGAAAAGTTGAAAGTTGATTTGGTTAACGAAGATGATGTAGGCCTCAATGTTAAACCGAAAAGGAGAAAGATCAAGGATGATGGTGATAGTGGCCTTGATTCCTTATCGAAAGAACAAAGGTTTGCTATTAGCTCCAAATTGAATGAGAGAAAAGCTCAGTTGAAGGTATTCCCTTTGTTGCTAGTAATTTATACATGCTTATACAATTTTATACAAAGTTATACAGTTGTTTATACATCTTTATACAAGTTCTGCTATACTTATTTATATATTTTTATAAAATGTTTTAGTATAGTTTTTGTTCCTGATCTATTTCTTGTTATTTTTTCTTATGCAAGGTTGGAGACTTCTATATACAACCAGTTGATTATTTCCACAACAGAATTAGCTCCCACACCGAGACTGAGATTGTGAGCATTTTGAAGCAATATTTGACTGACACACAGCTTCAGATGTTCCGTGCTAGTTGTTTTGGGTACTTCTTGGACCTCCCTCAATTTAAAATTCAAAATCAACTTATTCATTGTATATTATTGAGGGAAGTCGTCCCAGGACGTGAAAGGGAATTGTGGGTGCAAATTAATGATTGTTTGTTGCGTTTTGGCATTGGAGAGTTTGCTGTTATCACTGGTTTGAGGTGTGTAGACGACGATGCCACTTTCTATGACAAACCAGATGTTAATAGGTTGCTAAAAGAGTATTTTCCAGGAGATGGAAAAAAGGCTATAACTAGGGGGCAGCTTCTTGATCGCTTCAAGAAAAAGGACTGGAAGTCGGACGAAGATGCGTTCAAGATGGCCTTGATGGTGTTTGTCCATCATTTCATATTCTCAGATGCCAATAATCATGGTATCAACAAAGATGATTTTGATATCATTGAAAGTGGTCAATATCAGATGTATGCTTGGGGAAAAAAGTCATTTGAAGATATTTTAAGGACAATGAGGGACAGACAATGTGACTATTTGACAATGTATAGGCTTGGAGGTTTGCCACTTGCATTACAAGTATGGTTTTTTGAGTGTTGCTCTATTGTTGACAAGCATCTAGCTATTCGCGTTGGAACAAATGTGCCACGCATTCTTAATTGGAAAGTGACTGAAACTCCAACATATGCGGATTTGACTGGCGGGGTGATCATGTGTAGTATCGACAAGGTAAACATTTTGTACCATAATACTTCTTCATATATGATTTCAGTTTTTCTGTATGTATATTTATGAATATGTTACAATTTCCTTTTTCTACCATTGTAATCCAGTTTTTTTTTCTTGTAGTTAAACTATAGGAACATTTCCGCTACTCGTGAAGAGTTGTCAACTCTGAACATCGACACGCTTTTTGAAGTTAATGCCG